TGATATAGTATGCTATGCTAGGTCATATTGCATACACCTTAATAAGTCAAGAGGAACTTATAAGAGTAATCTCAGTTGAGTGCCGTACCAGCCTCCACAAGGGAGGTAACTCAAGCTCCACAAGGGAGAAAAAAAAAATAATAATAATGATCTCCGACTCAAGGGAGGCATTCAAGTTATAATCACGGTGTCATGGGGGACCTTGCAAACCCTCACGTCCCGATGATTGCGCGCAAGTGGTACGAGCACTCGGGCCCATCAGTAAGAAAGATAAGATAAGATAATAAGATTCTGATAAGACAATATAATTAAGCATAATTGGCTCATGCATATTTATTCATGTGAACTTACAGTTATTTTGCGAGAGATAGTTCCTACTTGCTGAGCGAAAGCTCATTATAGAATGTTTATACTGTAGGTAAGCAACCGGCATATAATGCCTGATAGACTGATGGCGAGTGGACGAACGAATGGATACCACTCGTAAATATTTCCGCAATCAGCTTTATGTTATAAATAGTTTTGTTAATTATGATTCTGAAACAGATATGTTAAGGTTTAAATATTTTAATTAAGAAAGTAATTTTGTATCTTATGTTTATTATAAGACCTTTAAAAAAAAAAAAATGTTCCGTAAATTTTAAGAAATTTCAGTAAGTACAAATTAAAAAATTAGTTACAGTGGCGGCCTCAAAAGAGGGTCGCTACATAAATGAACATTTTTATTTATCAACAATAAACACCATCATGAGAATAATTATTTCTGAACATGTTTAGACTTTAAAATCCATCATATATTGGGCCCGACGTTGTACCATCATAGCGCGCTAGCCACAGAAAGCATAAGGTAGCAAATCCTATACCAACCGTGATAATAAGACCGCTCACCGGTCACCATCAAGGGTGTACAACACCATTTAAAAACATAAAAATACATATATACATTTTTCTTCAAAACATCGTCATATGAGAAATATTAAAGGTGTTATAACATCATCATAAACATCAAAATCATATACTTCTCAATTCTTCAATTCATGTTGCAGGTGAGAATGTACTTACTTAAGCGCCTTACTTAACCTTTTTAAATTTCGCAACGGTGACGCGACGAATGAGGTCCTCGGGTGCTCGCCTCTAGAACCGTTCATGCGATAAATCATAAATAAGATTACTAAAAAGCCTTAATATCTCATCAAATACATTAATCACGTTAAAACAACATTTAATATTCCATTCTCACCATTCATTAACATCAAGACATAAAAGTCCACTGATTACACAAAAACACAAAACTTTACAAGAACTGGCAGCCTGACCTTTAATCCTTTAAAAACTCATAACAATTCACATAGAACTCCAAATGACCTGAAACTAATTTTAAATTAAAGTAGACATCTAGAGCTTTCCAACGGTATCTAATTTACTAAAAACGAAGTTCGTTTGCTCTCTCAAAAACTATTTTAAACTCAGATGATATTAGCTGGAAAATTCTAGCACAGTAAACTCCGAAAATACCAAAATACTATTCTAATTACACATTCTATAAAAATTCTCATGGCAAAGCGAACTAGAAACATCAATATGACCATCAAAATTTACATATCTTGCAACTCGAATTCAAAAACAATATGTTAACTCATGTTTCTATGAAATCACAATTTATAACATAAAAAGAAAACAACAATATAAGAAAATAACATAATTCCTAACATGCCTCTCTAGAATTTATCAAATTATGAAAACACCAAAACACCCAAAACAATAACCGGATCATGCATTCCAATCCAAAATAAACACCTGCCGCCATGGACATTAAACATCACCTAAATACATATATCCTCCCTCAATCATCAACCAATAAATATCCTCCATCATTCTCTCAAACCATGATAATCAAACCCAAAGTAAAATCATCCAAACTCTCATAGACATACAAACTAAACAACAAGAAAGAATCATACCTCGACAATCTTTATTTTGCCTCTAATGATTGAAGAATCCAAAAAGAATCAAGAGGTGAGGTTTGTGGCCGGTGTTGGAGGCTTTTTCTGATTTTTTTTTTCTTTTGAGCGTGAGAAATAAGGAGGAAGAGAAGGGGAATTGAATGACTCTTTAATATGTAAAAAAAATTAATGTGATTGATTTAGGATTGATTAGGGTTTAATCCTATGATTAAATGACCCCTTAACAGCTAAGGGTGGCTGTCATTAGGGTGTAAATTCGTATATATATATAATTTCTATAACATGGCATAAACTTGTTCTTAGCACTTCGAGTCCTCGTCGCGTTCACCTGTAAAATATAACTCAATGTAATGTTAGAATTAACTATATATAATACCATAACATTATTCAAGTTAACTCCTAACATCTACTTCTAAGAATTTTATCGGTTTAGAAAAATGGGTGTTACAATCGCATCCTCAAAATTTTTTTTTTTAATTGCATACTAGACAGTTGATGTGTGTGGACGAATTTTTAATAGTTACTCCGTAATGGTTACCCATCAAATATAGAAATTTAATGATATAACGTGATAAAAATTTAATTTTATTAATTTCTATAAATTATTTAATTTTCTTTAAAACCCGATATATACTTGCCTTTAAGAACTCATCTCTCTACAGCATTTGCACACAACATCGTACACTTCAGAAAAGAAGAGCATTGGGAATCCACTTGTAAAACAGTCATCAAATACTTCATATAGTTGTCCGAAATGTTTTTGAAAAAACCACCACAAAACTAAGTGACTATTAAGATTGAAAAACCTTATGGAATTTACTAAAAATGTATTAACATTATACATTTATTATTAAAAGCACTTAAATATCTTCCGAATCTTTTCTATAATGGCTCAACTTGTTTCGAATGGATCATTATACAAGTCTTGAACATTGTTAAGCTTGTAGCCTCTTCTTATGTCCGGGTGGTCTTCTTATGTCCGCTCTCGTAGTAAAACCTTTTCATCGGAGTTTGTACCTAACACTGTCTTTCCATTCGAGTTGAGCAAGGCTGTGAGCATTAGGAAATGACTTGTAAAACATTCATCGAATCATTGATAGTGGTTTGAAATGTTTTTGAAAAAGCCACCACAAAATTAAGTGAATATTAACATTGAAAAACCTCAATGAATTTGCTAAAAATGTATTACATTTATTATATATGTATTATTACAAGCACCTAAATATATTTTGAATCTTTTCTAGCACCTTTGGTATATAGATTCTAGAACTCGGAACCATAATTCTAGTTCAAACCAGTATTCGTTTGCAAAAAGTAAAGAGTGGTTTTGATTTGACTCACCTAGAATTAAGTTTGGTTTAGATAGTTCTGATTCAAGATTTGAATCCTGATGTGATGTTTTAAACCAGAATCACCTTGATTTTAAAACCACCCCTATTGGTTTTGGGTGAGTCAAACTCCTTATCTGGTTCTAATTTTAGAATCATGATTTAAACCTAAAATTATGAATCATGGTTCTGGTGTCAAAATCAAAACTTGAGTCACCCTAATTTAAATCATCATAGTAAACGAAGCCTTCTATAATGACTCAACTTGTTTTGAATGAATCGTAACAAGTCAAGCTGTTTTTCCATTGCGAGTCTTGATACCCGAACTTAGGAAGGGATTTCACGATGAAAATATCAGTATAAATATAAATATGTGGGGTTTGATGAATTTATAGAAATATCAATGGATAATATCAACTTCGACATGAGTTAAAGCGCTGCCGTCAAGTGCAATTTGAAACATTATTCTATCTAAACCGCCATTTTATGGTTTGAGAAATTCTAAACCAAACTAGAATTAAATTCAATAGTTTGATGCAGTTTAAAACTTAGCAGTTTTGATTTTGGACAATTTAAAACTGCGGTTTAAGATTCTTCAAAAACTTACTAAAATTCTAAGTTGTCATATCGCTATCAATAAAATCAAAGAAATGTGGTCAAGATTCTCGTCCATTAAATTTATATTCAAATATTAGAATTCAATAATATAAATTTTGAATCAATTACTTTAAACGGAGGTTATCATGTAACAATACAAAATAAAAATGAAATAGAAGTTATCATAAAACTGAGCTTTATGGAGGCTCCAAGTTATCTCCACCATTAACGTCAAGCCTTCCATAAACATTCGCTTGTTTAGTGTAATCACTCATTAGTTAAGCATGGTGCATCATCCACATTAATTAATAATAAAAAATATATATGTGCTCCAATTATAGTATAGCGGTAAATTCACGTCTAAGTCCGTAGAGTTCAAATTCTTCATTCTAAATTTTAAAAATTTTAAATGAATTTTCGGCTAGATAGTTGGAATGCGGTTTCAAGATCTCAAATCAAACCAAGAGTTTAGTGTTTTGGATTGAAACCAAAACGAGTAATTGACGATTTTGGTTATTTTTAAAAGCCAGCGGTTTTGTCAGTAAAGTTTAGTGCGGTTTGGCCGAGAACCTATATTTTGTCAGTAAAGTTTACTTTTCCACACCGACAACAATATATGGGAGAGTCCTTCATTAATAATATATAATAACAAAAAAAAAAAAAGAATAACAATAAAATAACAATAGCTAAATTGATCTTTACTCAATCTTCCAAGCATACAGATAATGGCAATACTCATTTGTTGATAAACTGCCTTGGGGCGAGTCATTATCATATTTGCTATCATTATAGCGTACTTCACTACAATTTCGTGCATAGAAATCGGTATTTGTCGAATCCGGTGAGCCAAGTTTGAAAATAAACAAGCCATGGCCTGAGCCAGGGCTGGTGAATAACCAATCATGAACATCCCAGAAGATTTGAATTGGCACATTGTTCGCCATCAAAGTCTCATTCCCTCTAAATCTCCAATTCAAGTTCATAACCCGAATCGCCACCGCCCCTTCCACGCTTATCCACATCTCGGGATCACCAGGCCCCAACAAGGAGTTCTCAATGACAATTTCATTCTCTTTCTTCCCGGCATTCAACATGGCATTAGTGCAAAAAAGATTTTTCCCACACACATTCTCTTTCTTGTGCAACAAGGTAGCTCCTTCCAAGGATGGTCTTGCCCTTGTTCTCTTACAGGCAACATCCTCCAAATCGCCTAGCAATAAAACCATCTCTTCCTTGCACACCAAGGCAACATAGTAATCTGAGCATGGCTCAGGAGAGCTTGAGAATTTCACCAACCGAAAGTCCCAAAAAAGGTCGACGCGCTCTCCATCCGCGGCAAAGGACTTGAGGCCTTTCTTGCCCCAAAATTGGTTATTTTTCAAATCAATCTTGCATGTGTAATGGTTTTCCTTAGAGGCTTTCTTGTCCACTTTGATGGTGAGGGAATAACTTGTGAGGCTTTTGCACCATGTCACCGAAACATTGCAGAATATTTCTCCTAGTTTGGCTTGATAAAAACAGGTGATCATATCACTCTGAGGGCCAGATTTATGATGTGCATTTTCCTGAAAATAAGTCTCTTAACACATTCTCAGAAGGTAGTATTTCTGACATTGTTATGACCATTTGTTTCACATCTTTGGAGGGCTTTACATTTTTTTTAAACTAAATCAATAAATTTGATACCCGAAAGACATGAATAATGAGAGCCAAAAGGTAAATATGCAGAAACTAAAGTCCCTTTTTGTGGGGGACAAAAATTACAGGTTGAAATCAGAAGGAAAAAAAAGAGAGTAAAAGTCAGGATAATAAGCCTTTGGAGGAACACAAAAAATCTACTTTGAGGATTTTATGTCTCATGATAGGCTGTAAATCTGGTGTCAAAACAGAAATTTTCCTTTATTTCTTTTTCTTTCCTATAAATAGTTCATTGTTTCTGACTTTGTAAAGCTAAAAAGGCCTGCTAGTTGGTTGGCAACTAGAATGACCTTGCTTTATTTGAGACTAAATCTTACTATTTTAGTCAATAGTCAACTTAAAAAAATAAAATAAAATACTTTTTCTCTAATTAGTCACTTTTTTTTTTTTACCCTTTTCAGTACAACTTTGACAATTCTCAACTTTTTGAACTTGCAAGCAAATTATCTACAACTCTCAGTATATATGACTTCTTTGAATTAAATAAAAAAAAAATTGGAGGTAATTGATCAAAGATAAAACAAATTGGTATAATATAGTACAAAATCTCTTTCATTCCTTATAACTTTATCATCATGGAATTTTTATGCTTAATGAAAATACATAGAATTCTCCAATTACTTTTGCCAAAACCTTCAATAACATCCTTTGATTCCATATAATAAAAGTATCATGCAGCTTGGAGATGTTCAGCATGGAAGAATAAATTTAATGGTTTTCATATATATAAAGAAAATAATGGTTTCAAGTAATCTACAAAAGTTTATGTGCCAAGTAATGGGCATGGCAAATATATTTTCAATTTCTAGTGAATCTACTTACAGAAAGTTACAAATAGAAAATCGTCAGATTATTTGATACAAAAACTTTAATAAATAACTTGGGATTCTTAGCATTATCAGTTCTATAAAGGTTAAGGCATGGACAAATATAGTGTCTTTTTATGTAAACTTTGTTACTGAAGTTATCTATAACAATAAAAAGTAAATAAATAAAAAATAGCCCAAGAAGAACCCATAAACACAAGTACTGTATTTAGTATTTTTGTTCTTTACAAAAAGAGTGGTACAAGAAAATACATAGGTAATTTAAAAGATAAAATTTCCTATATATGTATAACAGAAACGACACCTCTCTTAAAAATCCTCATAATTCACATTAAAAAAGGAAAAAAAAAAAAGAAAAAAAAACATGCAGCTCTGAGAACAAGCATTATAATTTACTATACAGAAATGAATGAGAAATCAAATGCATTTGGAATCCACTGTGTTATAGATAAGTTCCTCAAGGTAACATGAAAAATTTTCCACGAGGGGTAGATCGGCTTCTCCGAAATTCCTGCATGGTTACGTTGTTTGCTTCCTTCGGATTCCGAAATGCTCCATTTGGCTGCTTGTTTTCTAGTTTTCCAGCCATTAGGGGCTCCATTGCAGGCACTAGTCCTCTGCATAGATAGATTTTTTTAACATAATATCTTAGTAGGGATATTTTCATAATTGGTCAAAATTTCAGGCCTCTTTTAAAGTAAATTCTCCTTTTTTTTATAATTATTTTTTACTTAGTTCCCGTTTTGAACCAATTGGTAAATCATTGATTTACTCAAGTAAATCACTACTCTACTCTTATTAACTAGTCAGGTAAATCATTGATTTATCCTACAAAAAATGGATATAAGAGTATAAAAAAGAAACTATAATGATAGTTTTTAATAAGAAGTGATGATCTTGTGAGTTCATTCGAAATTTTTAGTCTCATTTGCATGAATGGCCAAAATTTTGGACCTGTTTTCAAAAGAAATGCGAGTAAATATTTAAGTAAAGATTATTTATTTACTTTAACAAATCAAATGTATAGCAAACCAATTATGAATGAGATTATGAATAAAAATTGACATAAAATTGAAAAAAAAAACAATTATGAATAAGATTAATCAGAACTTTATTTTACCTCGGTTCATGGTTTTGTGAGTTCCTTGAGAAGAAGTTCTTCCTTGCCTTTTTCATCTCCAAAGCACTATGCATTGGTGAACCAAGATGAACATGCTCATTTTCTGGCTCAGAATAGTCACTCTTGCTAGCCTCCTCCATCTGTTCACCGAAATCCAAGTCCGCGAGCAATGTCGTCATCACGGCCTCATTCTTATGCAATCTTGATGGCACCTGATATTGCTGCTTTGCCTTAGCCTTAATAGTAGTAGTACTCTCAGGCTTGGCTTTCCTTATACCACCTTGTCTTATATTTAGTGCTTGTTTGAATTGATCATCTTCATGTTGTTCTTGTTGAGCTTTCTTGAAACTCAATTTTTGGATGGAATTTAGCGCCTCAGAAATGTAGTCCTGCCTTGTTGATTCATGTGGAGTATTGTTTGGCCTTGTAGTAATATTATTAACTTGAATTCTTGAGTTGGTATCATTTGATGAGTTCACTTGTGTTGTGGCAAGTAATTTGGTGGTGGGAACTCTAGCTGGAAATGGCACTCTTGAAATCGGTTGGTTTTCGATTGTCTCGGGTTTGGCTTTGCTTCTCATGACACTCCCTCTTTCTGTGGATGTTGATCTTCTAATTGGAGGAGAAGGTGATCTAAGGTTTCTAGAGATGGCTAATCTTTCTTCGGTCAAGAAAGGCAATTTCGGTACAGTTTCTTTCTCTGCCAATCCCATGGGGAACCTTGACCTTCTTTGCTTCCCAGAAGAGCAACTTCTAGCCTGTTTTGATATTGTGATGTTTTAGTACGTCAGTGTTTAATGAAAAATGCTAGGGGTCCCAACTATAATCCCGACTTTATGAAAGGAAATATAACGTCTAATTGAGTTGAGACATAATTATATGTTTCTATTATTGAATAATATATGAAAACATGATTTGAATTTTACAGAAATTTTGCCTTCACCGAGCTCTGTGCGACCTAAGTGGTATCTAATTTTTTTTAAACTAAATGCCACGTAAGTTGGTATTAAAAAGTTGAGATAATAGTTGGGACCCCTAGGATTATTCGTAGTTAATATGATTAAACAGGAAATAGAATCCTATCCTTTGACTTACCTCGGAGATCTTAGGATCTTCTTGAGAGGTTTCAGCCCTCATACAGGTGTTGAGACCATTTCTCGGAAAACGATAAGGTGAAACGGCCCTCATTTTTTGAGAATCCATGGCACTTTTCATAGTTCCGCCTTTGTGTTGTTCTAGTTCAGCTTCTTTTTTCTCTAGTGCCAGTTTGAGATTTGATATCTACATCAATACAAGTTCAGTCAATAACTTATTATCACAAGAAAAAAAAATATGTATACACAAGTTAGAAGTAGAATTTCATGAAGAAGTGACAAGGATTAGATTTCTACCTCATCTTTTAGCTCTCGAATTTCGCCGGCTTCTTTGTTAGATTTTGCTGCCCCTAGCTCTATGCAGGAAGCCCTCTCTGCAAACTTGAGTGTGCTAATTGTCTCTCCAAAAGCATTAACTTCAGGATTTATGTGTACAAACATCAAGGTCTTGGCATGCCCACCTAGTCATCACATGAAAAATGTTAAGATATATAGAAATCTGTAGTAATGTTATCATAGAACAAAGTTCTTCTATATTTTACCGAGTGAGTCTTGTAACACTTGAGTGAGTTTGCTATTTCTGTAAGGAATATGTGTACTCTTCTGTGCAAGTGCAGATATGACATCTCCGAGCGCTGAGAGCGATCGGTTTATGTATTGCGCTTCCTTTAATCTCTCACCGACTGCCTCGGATTTGTCCACTCTCTCACTCCCAGCCAAGTCCACTAGATGGAGGCAACCTCTTAGAATAGTCCCCGAAACCAACTCTTTTCCTTGGACATGAACTGTTAAGACACTTTAAATAGAATAGACAAGTCCAAAGTGTCACTAAAAAATAGCATTTACCAACTAGGAAGAACTTAAATGTCAAGTAAAAAACACTAAAATGAACAACTTTTTTACCTATGAGAACGACTGCTCCGCTCGTTCAAAGCAGTCGCTCCTACCGCGCGATTCCTTTGGCCAATTTTCATCAATTCAAGAACATCTTCAGTGCAAGTCACTGGCACTAGACATGCATCAGGTACATTGAGGCCATTCAACTGAGAGTTATTTCTTATATCTAATGTTCAAAGTAGTTAAAGATACCAAAGGTATTTTAAAAGGGAAAAAAAACGATAAAGGTTGTTTATGGCGTCCAGTGGAACCTCCTCATGTGAGTTGTGATGCAGGACACGGATCGTGCCCAATAAGTTCATCATGTTATAAATAAAACAACCATGATAATTAGCTCTTTAAAAGGATATCTCCTGTTGGAGCCATCATTGACTAATAAGTCCCTCACTTGCTCATTATATATTTCAATCATCTGTACGGCAACTTCATATCTTACAATTTGCACCCTTTCCTTTGATATTTGAAATAGATCTCCTAAAGCGCGGTAGTTCACACCCCATGTTTCTTCAGTTGTCAAATCAGGACCACTCTGCAGAGCAAAAAACAAGGTGGTTATTACATAACTAACGAGCTAATTGGAATATATATTTGTATATATATATATATATATGAACTTGGGGTGCGGGATTTGAAATTCGCACTTCAGATGGTGGTAGGAGTGGATTTACCGCTAGGCTATGCTTGCAACCACAAATTAGAGAACTTTTTAAGTGTGCAACATATTAGATACTAGTTAAACTTTAGGTATATTTTGAAGACATATTAATTACATTTATTGACTAAAATGGGCAAAAATTTACCATAGTGTATGTCTTCCCTGAGCCAGTTTGTCCATACGCAAATATGCAAACATTGTAACCATCAAGAACAGACCTAACCAGTGGCTGAGTATCCACATATATTTGCTCTGCATATAGCAATGAAAATCACTTTGGTCAAAATTTTATTGCTAATCAACAACATTATAACAAGAAAGCTAATCCATTTATTCAGGGTTAGTTTCATAATATAGATATCAAAATTATTGGAGAAATAGAGTATAAGCCTTTGGAAAATCAATTGATACCTTGTGTAACATTTGTTCCAAAGACTTTGTTAAATGTAAATATCCTTCTTGAATCTTTTCCTTGCTTCATGGGATTTACAATCATAATATTTCCATTTTCTCCAATATAATCCACCGTGGTCTGACCATTTGATTGCCCTCTCAAGAAGGGTCTTACTCTACAATATACTCTAATAGTTCCTGTGTAAAACATAAAATAAAATTAAAAAAAACAATTAAGCTCCGTAACATACAAAATCTCAATAATAAATATATAAGATAGATTCATCACCTTTAAGGTCTTGGACTTGATTGTACAGGAAACGGTTTTCTTCTAGAACTTTCTGGTAGGAACTTGAGGCCACTTCTAAGTTCTTAACATGATGCACTAAAAAAAAAAAACAAAAAAAGAAAAATTTTATAACTTCAACTATTCCTTGTAATATGTTACAAAAATAAAATAAATTCTATTACAACCACTTGAAGCTTTTTGTGCTGTGCAATAAAATCATTAGATTCTTACCAAGCCTTCTGAGGTCTTCTTCCCATTTTGAATGTACCAGATTAACATCCCTTCTTGTGTCTAGGAAAGATGATTTTAGTTCCTAAAACAAGTTAACATGTTGAAATATGTAAGAGAATTAAATTGAAGATGAAATTAAATTGACCACAAGAATGGAGTATGTACAACAACAATGTGGGGCACTATCCATATGAATGCTAAGTGTAGTAAGACTTACCTGAAGCTGTTTTTGATGAATGTCAGTTATCCGTGCATGCTCGGGCGAGTGAGTCACTATGTGTCGGACAACAGTTTCGCGTTTACCGCCACAAGTACAGAATGTGGCCAAATCTCTCGCCACCAAACTAGTTCTCTGGCTAAGATATCGTGAAATGGTCTCTAAAAATTCCGATTTCGATAGAGTATCAATGTCACTCTTCAATAGTTTCTTCAGAAATATCCCAAGCTGCATAGGAAAAAAAGAGAATCATGGTTAACTTAATTAGTTACATGTATCAAAAAATTGGAAATATAGTTACATAAGACTTCTGGAACAAATGTAGTAAGTACCTGAGTGCCTTGAGAAACAAGCAGAGCTGAGAAATCCTTGACCACTTTACTGAGCAAAGTATCTACAACCTAAAAAATTAATCCCCCATATATAAAAGTTAGAAGCCAAAAAAAAAAAAAAACAACCCTTTAGTCCAAAATCATAGATGCTAATTCTAGTTCTATGTCTGAAGTTTATGTGGGCCAGGATAGCTCAAGTATATATGTTTTCGAAAAACTAATGGTAAGGGTCTTACCTACCATTGCATTCAAAGGCAAATCATCCAATCCATCACCACTCTCTTGAAGAAAAGCCTGCAGAAGTCCAAGCCCGAATCGATCGAAAAGGAAGGTCAGAACATTGGCAATTCTTGATTCCTCAACTGAGACCTCATTGGAGAGATGGAGAAACTCCAAGAGCTGCTCATATTGTGATGAATCAGATTCATCCAAGGACTCATCAGTACTCTCACTCCCAACAAAAGAGGACGGGCACTCTTTCGGAAACGATGTGATCCTCACTGTCCCTCCATATCTCCACACCCCTATTCCACCAGATTGCTTCCATTCATAATACCCTTTGAGGCACAGAATGCAGTCCACAACTTTACTTGATGAGCCTCCCTGTAAATCCCAAAAGATTTCTCTCACAAGAGTCCAGTTTCATGTACAAATATGTTTGATAACGGTTAACGAAATGGTGAAAAAGGAATGATATGTTGTAACCTTTTCCAAATCAGATGCTTCAAATGTCAAGAGCTTCATGTTTTTGACAGCCTCAAGGAAGTTCCTCATGTTCTCAAAGTACTGGATTGCTGACTGTGCCGGCCCCTCTATTGACTGGATGGCGATTACCGGATTTTCCACCACCTTTTTCAAAAATCCAAAAAGGAAAGGATAAATAAAAAGAAAACCAACTTGAAAAAATCAGTGTAGAGAGGCAAGTTGCTATTCATGATGACAATTTGAGCGCAATTACAAGGGTTTGAACTTAAGAACATATGCTGTCGTACCTTGTTAATTTATGGATTCTCTAAAAAGTTTAAGCTATTGGAACGTGCACTACGAACATGCATATTATGTACAAAAGTAGGAAACAGTTGTGAGTGATTGAAGTCCTAACCTTTGAAACAGCACCAGGGTTAACTTTGTTGAGGACATTGCAGAGGATGAGGCCATTTCTAAGAGCAAGGCGGAACTCTTCTTCGGACGGTTCTTTGTAAAGCGTTTCCGAGGCTCCTTGGTCCATCTGACGCAGCCATTGTGCGGCTTGGTATCGCCTTGAAGCTGAAACAAAACAAAATATAACCTGTTAGACCCTGTACTTAAATTCCTTAGTGAAAAAAAGTACACTTTATTCTAGCCATATAGTTTTGTCCATCAGTAACTCCATTTTACAAAAAGAATTATAAGAAACAAAACTAAGTAGTACTTTTAAAATTTCTTAACTTTTGTTGATACAATTAGCAGTTCAGATTAGTTTTAAAATAAAAGACAGAGCAAACAGGGGAAAACAGAGCAGAACAGAATGGCCATTTCACCAAAGGACTAATTAGAAAATTTTTTACTCTGGGAAATTTTGATTTTGGATGATTAGAATTTGGATAATTACAATCTTCCTTTCTGATCTTAAATAATTGGAGTGTGATTAATCTGGTAATCAGGTCAGAATTTTTACTCTTTGATGATGGTATTTCTTGTTTCTTTTTTTCTTTCAACAAATTTATCAAAATTTGAGACTTCTTTTTTTTTTTTTTTTTTTTTTTAACATATACTAAATGCCATTCCCTTGGAACCCATTAAGGAAAAAGTGGTCCCTGTCACATTTAGGTAACAACAATGGCTGGTTGGGGACTAAAAGCAGGAAATGTTTCTCAGTCAATGGACTTCCTACTTGGCTGCATTTATTTCTCAAAAGGGCTATCTCATTTCGTCGGGCAAAGGAGACGTCAGACAAGTACCGCTTAAAATACATGAGTTTTAGATTTTTATCTTTTATTCTTAATTAATACTCTTTAATCAAAGAACTATATTTATCAAAAAATTACTAATCAAGAGGAGAGGGATAAAAATCTTAGAACAATGCATTCAAAGAGTGAGTTCACCAATTTTCTCTTTCTCTTCTTAATATGATAATAACTTGCATTTTGAGTAGGTGAAACAAGTAATTAAGTGCCGGATTCTTGTTTTTTACATGTTTTTTTATCTGTCAACCCATGCTTCTGTTGAAATGTTTGGTTTACCAAACTGTGTTAAGTGTCTTAAGACTTGCATTGTTTCTTGCCAAATTTGTCTGGCTGGAAACCTATTCAATTTATTTGTCTTTTAATAAAAATTAAATGAGTTTAGGGTGGCAATTCGAGTTATGAAATAATAAGGCCCCGTTCATTTTACCGATTTGAGTTTTGCTACAGTAAAAAGCTCTCAGAAATAGTCACATCTAACTTTTTTACTACAATAAAAAGCTTTTATATAAAGTCACATCTCAACTCGAATTAAAAACTCAAATCAGCGAACTAAACAGACCGACAACTCAAACTTTATTTAAATAGCTAACATGATCCACACAATACTGATTTGAATTGACTCGATTTTATTAAACTTTTAATTAAAAAATATATGAATATAGATAACAATTTCAAAAAAAAAAAAAAAAAAACAAACAAAGTAAGGTGTTGCTAACTTCATGAAAATAAAATAAAAATAATTATTATTATACAGTTCGTCTCAAATTGGCACTCATTTAAATGAGAATCTCAATCCAAACCTTACATTTTAAATGAGAAAATATACAACTGATTTTAGTTATTGACAATAGAATGAAAATGATTATTCAATGTACTGGATAGCCTAGAAAAAAGGTGTTACAAATGGTAGACATAATTATAACCATATTAGCGGTGCTAGACATCCATAATATGCTTAAGAAAAATTATCTTTACTCTAAAAAAGATTCTAACAATCATGGAATCAATCTTTCTTTAAACCACTTTTAGTCTATATTCCTACACCTTATAATCCTTTTCACTTTAAGTAATTGAATGTTGGTGAGGTGAGACGCTCATAGCTATCATTGGCTGTAATCTTTATTCCCTCCACCAAAAATAAGATACTAATAGAGGTAGGTCTTACAACATTTTAAAGGTCATCTTCCAAAAAAAAAAAGTATAATTTTAATATTAGATTTTTCATGGCCCCACTTTTTGGTAGGTCCATGTCAGCATGAGTGAATGAAATACGGGGACGCGTTTAAAACTCATTTTAAAATGATTTTATTTTCTTGTATGAAAATAAAAATGTTTTCAATCTCAGACAAAAATTATTTTAAAAATGTGTTTGATAATTTTATCAAGATATTATTTTTAGTATAAAAAAACTCATTAATGTCTCAATCTCTTTCTCTCTGCTCGAGAGAGAAGAAAATTAAAATAAGAAATGAAATCTCATTTTACATTAAACTAAAAATCATTTTCATTTTAATTTTTTCATCTTTATTACATCAAACGCTATTTTAAAAATATTTTTATTTTTTTCTCAAAAAATATAAAAAATAAAAATAAAATTAATTCTAAACACGGCCGCCATGATCTCTGTATATAAAATTGAGATGTGGGGCCATTTATTATGAGTAAAGGTACAAATAAGCCTCACGTATCGTGAATAATGGTACTTGACACCGTTGACACGGAATGGCACTACTATTTTCAGCTCCCTATGTTATGTCATGTACAATATGCTGTACTTTATCTTATTTTTTTCCCCTAAGAGAACCTTAAGTTAAAGCATTCTCTAATCAGAAAGAGAACCCAGAAAAAACAAAAAATCAAACAAAATACATGCAGCTATAACTTTAATTCATTTCTCCAATGTAAATTGTTTTCATAGCCCTAAAGAGTTTGCAAAAATATATATATATATATATAAATTAAAAAGTATATTTACAGGCAGTTTTAGGTAATACTAAAAGTAGAAAAGTACCTGCTTCTTCTGCTTTTCTTTGAGCCAATTCATAGTCATTGATAATCTCTTCGTTGTACGAATATGGAGCCTCATTGTTAGAGGCTAGTGACTTCAGACCTCTCACGTTCTTGCAAGGAGATGTGAAGATTGAATTTGAATTGCTCTCTTGTGGCATTTTTTTTTTTTTATGTATTTATTTAGTTTTTGTTTTGTCACTATTCAAAAGTATGACACTGCAAGAAACAGAAAAGAACAAAAACAGATGAAGAAGAACAAGACAAAAAAAACCCAGAATCATATTAAAATCTGACACTGAAATGAAGTACTAGACAAGGAGAATCATTTTCTAGGAAATCAAAAGAGAGAAAAAAAAATCATTTTCTTTTTAAGACGTATATATGATCATAATACTAAACACAACGTATCAAAATGAAGTTCAGAAGGAGTTGTTCGAGTTTATACCTTCGAAGGGTCTTGATGAAAATTCTAAGAAAGAGTGAAAGATAGAAAGAGTTGGCGTAGTTAGAGCTTGAGCTTGTAGTGAAACTTCAGATCTGATCTTACCCCGGAAATGGAAGAAGAAGGTGAAGCAAGATTCTCGTGTGTTTAGTGAATGAGAATTCAAAATCTAGTGGAAGCCCAATAAATGCTCTAGTGTGAGAAGAAGACAGAAACAGAGAGAGAGAGAGAGAGAAGGAGAGAGAGAGAGAGAGAGAGAGAGAGAGTTTAAGGAAGAGAAATATTAAAAGAAACTGAAATTGCAACGTTGGTTTCTCTGCCTACATAGTCTCATCTCAAAATTAAAAAAAGAATGCAAAGACACCATGTGTCGAGTCTAAGTGTGTTATTAGTGTTAATAATACTAAAAATAACATTCTTGTTTGAGAATAATCTCGTGGTAGGATGTGAAAAAGAAAAATACCTTATTGATAATGCATAGTTTTAGATTGTGTGATTTGTATCTAAACTTGCATAATTTTTTTTATTTTTTTTTACATTCTTTATTATGACCCAACGGTCTAAAATGTAAAAATAAAAAAAAATAAAAAAAAAATTTATTTTTTTCATTTTTGCCTCTACCACATAATTCTCTATTGATTAATGTCAAAAAAGAAAAACTAACATTTGATTAAAAACAAAAGGAATTTCTCGTGATCTGCATTTAAAAAACAGATAGATTTTAATATAGATTTGATGGCTGAAAAATAAATAATTACTCGATTGTGCATTTACATTCTTCGTTATGATCCAACGGTTAAAAATGTAAAATATATATATATATATATATTATTTTCATTTTTGCATCTACCACATAATTCTCTATTGATTAATGTCAAAAAAGAAAAACTAACATTGGATTAAAAAAAAAGAATTTCTCTAGTGGTCTGCTATATCAGTAGTTTTAATTTTTAACAGTTGAAAAACAGACAAATTTTAATATAAATCTAATAACTAAAAAATAAATAACTACTCAATTGCCTATTTTTGTAAAAATTACTAGAGAAATCCAAAAAAAAAAAAAAATTGATAGAAGGGGTTGTCAAAAGAATGGTAGACCAGTAGACGGCATTCAAAAGAGGGTAAATGGATTGGACATATGATTTATTTAGGGGTACATTTTGACTTTTTAGATTTTTTTCCCTCCAAGTGGTGAGAAGGGAAGCCAATAAAGTCATGCCGCGTGTCTAGTCTTCTCCTGTGGGACCCTTTGATTGTTGGACTGGTGGGCAGGATCTGGCCAAAATGATGGCGCAAGGCTACGCTTTTAAAAAAGCTTTGGTCTTTGGACTGCATTTTGTGCTGCATGGTAAAGGTTGTCTCTCCCATTCTTTCTATGTAAATATATGTCGTTTACCAAAACACTATATGGCCGTTATTGCTAGCTACTCGTGTGCTTTGTCTAATGAACCATGATGCTAAATCTGGTCCATTCAAATTGTAACTTGATTGATCTTTGTCATGATCTGGCTGATACAAGACTTGCATGAGTTTGACTGTGGAAGTTAGTATACTATAATCAAGATTATCATAATTCATACATACACCTATGCAATTAACCAACATTTTCTTTGTACATAAATTTTGATATAGGCCTCGTTCACTTCGCGGATTCGAGTTTTCAATTTGAGCTGAGATGTGACATTTTCTTAGAGCTTTTCACTGTAATAGAAAAAGTTAAATGTGACATTTTCTGAGAGCTTTTTACTGTAGAAATTTAAAACTGAAAACTCGAATCGGTGAAATGAACGAGCCATAAGGTAACTAGTTATTTACTTAATTGGAGGTAAAGAGATTTAAAATTTTTAAGCTTTAGTTTTGACAAAATAAGCATGGAACTATCACCAAACTAAACTTGTGATCGCTGTTGAGCTGTTTTAATACCAAAAAGAATAAGAAATTTTTATTTATTCATTTATTATACGAGTCATTATACCCTTTTGTTAGAGTAGTATTGACATATGATTTCTCATCTAAACCATATCTTTAGAGTTTGGTGAAGAATAAAAATAGGGTTGATGAGAAATCCTTACAGATTCTTGGGAAAACCAAAGTACCATATAGTGTCCTCTCTACCTATTTATTTGTCAATCAATTTATTCTTATTTTAGGGTGGGTCCATTAGGCAAAGTATGCCCCGTTCATTTCACCGATTCGAGTTTCGCTACAGTAAAAAATTATCAGAAACAGTCAAATCTAACTTTTTTACTACAGTAAAAAACTCTCACATAAAATCACATTTCAACTCGAATTATAAACTCGAATCAGCGAAGTGAACGGGCCTATATGTAAATGAAAAAAAAAATTATATATATATATATATAATCTATAATTTCTCAGATATACCATGAATGAGAAAATGACATATTTGCCCTCAAAGTAGAAAAGGTGTCAAGCAGGTAAAAAAAGTAGGATGATTTCATTATCCTTGGTGGCGGTGGTTGGTTCACATTCTTCACGGAATAAAGGGAAAGATGAGAGTATACGTTATGTTTTTTTTTTTTCTTTTCTTTTTTTTTTTAGTTCTCTTTTTGAAATGAGAAAGAGGGCTAAAGGCCCAATGGGGCCCACTTTCGAACGTTGGATCCCTAACATTTAAATGATTGCTCATAAGAAGCTTTTCCATGCTCATTTTACATTCTGTAACCCATTTAATGGACCACTTAATGGAAGTTTCTTTCTCTCTTAATCCAATTATGGTCTAAGAGTTTTTTTTTTTTTTTTTTGCTTTGTTAACTTTTGCTTGGATTAGTTAAAAGCTAGCTAAGAGAAGGGACAAAACTTATCTTACAAGCATACACTCTAAATAGTCAAAATATCCACAGTTAAATGGCAAAAAAGAGAATTGAAACATTTAGGTGTATATGGGGTCAAATTTCATTTACCATAACTCAACTTTTTTCCCTCTCAAGCAGTACCCCTTTTTCTTTTTCAATGCTTCTTTTTCTTTATTTTTTTTTCTTTTCATAAAAAAAAAAGATTTAAGGAATAGTACCAACATATATATTGGTTGAGGGGTCTCTAGTGACATTTAACGGCCACATTTTTAGCGACATTTAAGGAGCACTCAAAGGCACTTGATGCTGCATATTATTAGCACAACTAAAGTTGATTTTGCATTATTTTTGTGCACCATACTCGGATGTGGTAAGAGAAAAAAATGTACAAAGAAAATATATATTGTGAGAATCTGTATAAATGAATTATTATTTAGGTTCTTTTTCTATATGATATCTCTATTGGTATTGCATGCTATGAACGTCACATAATGGTATACTTAAAAAAGATGTGTAGTACATACTCTAATGAAGTTTGATATAAATCTAATTGTCCAGAGCAGTATGACACCCGTAAAGTAATTTTTTTTTCATGCTTTTGCCAAAGAATTATTAATATTATTTATACATGACTAACTTTACTATAGGCAATCTAGATGTTTCTACAAGACCCTAATTAAAAGTAACAAGAGAGACAAGTTTTCTAATTTCACTCAATGTCTTAAGCATGTTTCTTTTTTTTTCTTTTTTTTTTTTTTTTGAAATTTAAGCATGTTTTAGTTATCCTTATATGGAATTGGTTATTATATTGCCCATCACTAGCATTTATGCCTTTCCCTAAAAGGAGAGATATATAAAACCCAAGTGACAAAGTTATGCTACAGAGCAACAAAATCCACAACTCATTACTCTTCAAAAGTTTATGGTGTGTGAATGAAAAAAATGACTCTTGGGGACCTCTATATAAATGATTTCACGCATGCTATCCCCACTTGTTTTTTTTTTTTTTTTTTTTTTTTTTTTTTTTTTTTTTTTTTTTGGTTTAGGTTCACAAGAAACCCAAAATCAATGGTATAAAGCTTCTTTATGACCATTGTCACGCCTGCCACAATATGATTTTATTAGTGAAGAACAACTTCTTTTGTCATAAAAAAACTGATTTTGCAAAAACTAAATTACTTCAGAAATTCTGCCATATATATTACGTACATGAATCATTTTAGTTCACTCACGTGTCTGATCAAGATGACTAATTCTTGAAATCTAATTCGGGATTACTGTGTCTTTGGAAGAGCTTCTGCTTTTACTTGTCGAAAAACTGTGAAATAAAAGTAAAAAACATAAAAATCTAACTCCTTAAAATAATTGTAGAAGATATTGGTGTTTGTAGCGTTTTTACCAACACACGAGATTTTTGTGGCCCCCACAAGCATTACCAAACTGACGCTTAGGGTCCGTTTAATTCGCTGATTTAAATTTTTAATTTGAGTTAAAATGTGATTTTATGTGAGAGCTTTTTACTGTAGTAAAAAAGTTAGATGTGACTATTTTTAAAAGCTTTTTACTGTAAGAAAACTCAAATCGGTGAAATGAATGGAGCCTTAATATGTTAAATTTCTAGCCAGACAAATGTTACCAAAGAAGCGGCTTGCATATCATATTTAATCTGCAAAAGCAATATAGAAACTCTAAGGACATAAGTTGGAGAATGTATGCAGAAAAGGGGAAAAAAATGCACTTGCAAGATTACTAGACCTTACTTTATCTATAATATCTATCCAATATGTTTGTTTCATAAATTTAAATTACTGTTTAAATTTTTTTTAAATTTATAAACTAAACGTGTTTAATATACATTCTTTTCAGAGAAAAGAGGCAAATACCTTTTATAGTGTATGAGTCTGAATTTATTTTTTACTCTTGATTAATATCATTTTTAGAAGATTAATATTTTTTTTAGTCAAATAAGTCAAAAGAGTATTAATTAATAGTAAGAGATGAATTTTCTCTGCCTCTATTTGTTTTTTTCCGTTACTAGGCTGGCTCTTCCATGTTATGCCATGACGGCTGTATTTCCAGGCCTGCTTTGGTTTCTGTCAAGGTGAGCTAGGCCCAAAACAAATCTGCAAATTGTATAGTTGATATTTGTCTAGTCTCCCCTCCTTGGGCCATCAAAACACCAGAAGGCCCTGGATCACAATCCCTTTTGTGTATAGCAATCCAACTTGACCTTACGCATTGCATTGGGCCTAATCTCCACTGGCAGCCCAAATAAAAGTAGGGTGGTGAATTAATCACAATACGACGATTATGTCTAGTTTTCATATGTCAAGCTCAAATCTTTTTAGAGACGTTTAGTTCATGAATTAAAATTATAAAATTAGAGTTATTTTTTATT